GTTTCATTGCCAGCTTGTTTTATAACCACGCCTGTTGTGCTTCCTTTATGAATATTTCTCTTGCACAACAGCGTAGGGCCATCGAATGTAGGTCAGTTCCTGATTTTCCAGGGTCGAGGTGGAGAGGACCACAGGTACTGATTAACTAGTTAGTTCTGTTTGACACTTCTTCTATGCTAGGAGGTACGAGGGAATACACTTACCTTTCAGACTAGCTAGGATTCTCCTTTTAACTTTTTCACCAGCTGGTTTGCTTGTGTCCTAGACCTCCTCCAGCAGAACTAAGTGTTTGAGGGAAAGCAATACAGCAAATCACAACTATAAGGTAGCCAATTTCCATTTGTCTTTGCAGACAGTTCTGCCACTTTATAGAGCGGTAAAACATTTGTGATTGTCCAGCAGCTTCTGATTGCGGCTGTGGTTTTAGGAGACCAGGTACCAATTCTAAAATGCTGCAGCCCCATCATGCAAGGCACTAAATCAGGCTGCTTGTGTTCAAACTTTGTGCCCATTGCTTATGTTTATCTGCTCAGCTTTGTGCTGGCTCAGCTGTCTCCTGTCCTCTCAAAGCAGCTGCATAAATCAATACGGAAAGTCTAAAGTATTTTGGCTAACATCTTTGTATGGTGGGCCTGGTTCAGTTGATAGAAATTTGAGATCCAGTCGGAATTTGGAAAGACCCTCATGGTTTTAGAAAGTTTTTGTTTTGAGCTTGGCAAATAAGGAAATACATAGAGCTGCTTCCCTCTTGAAGCTTCTGGAGAAAACAACCTGCATCATTCTTACACTTTGCAAAACCAGTGATTTTCGGAGTTGAAAGTCATCGTGGCAATCATGGGGGGACCTGAGGTCCAGACTAAGCTTCTTCCAAAGGGTTAACCTCTAGGTCTGCTTATTGCAAATGTGGGGCAATGAGCTTTATAGTATTGACAATATATCCTAAACACAGCATTGCTTCCCAGTTCTGGTGCTACCAGTCTGACAGCACCTGACAAATTGTTGACTGTTCTAATGGATGTTTAAAAAAAAAAAAACAAAACCAAACAACCAAAGAAAAAAGCCTCAATGACCTATTGCCCCAAGTGTGTTGCAGTCTGGAGGTCAAATTGTTTTTGTTTTCCCCAATCGTTGGTTTGCCAAGCTCTGGATTCAGATGTTAAAGGCCCTCAGACATAGCACTGTAGAGATGAATGCCATCACAGCAAATCTGAATTTTTTGTTTATTTGTCTTTTGTAGTTGTTACTGGGTATTCTCAAACTAACATGAAAAAGTAGGGAACATTTTTAGTGTGGTTCAGCCAAAAACTGTATCAAATGATCCTGCTTTTAAAGAAAACAATGCTTGCCAGGGAGAAGACTTATATATTACAATTGCCTACTCCTTTAATGGGGTTCATGGTCCATTTTTCCTGTCCATGTTAATAAGCTCTTTATGTATATCTGTATCTTCTGTCCTGCCCAAGTTAACTCTTAAATCTAGTATGAGATGAGTTTTCAAATTATTTTTTAGGCAGATTTGCATGCAGTTTGGTACCTTGTGAAATAGAAGCTTTTCATGCAGCCTGTCTTGGTATATGGGCAGATTTCTCTGCAGGAAAACCTTTGTTGTATACTTCAGTGAATGTTTTTATTTGTGATAGAAGTTCCAGAGTAATGACTTGCAGGCAGAAACTGCAGGAAGAAAAAGAAAAGTACGTTTAATTACAGTCTTGCATTGTAGATCTCCATCTCTGATGATGATGCAACTTTGAAATGCATTGTAACTTGTTTAAGCAAAATAGGAGCTCCCTTGGTAAAATAGAAAATGTGGTATTAGTAGTCATGAAAATGCAAAGTGTAAGAACTACCACGTTGTGTCAAACCAGACACTCCCGTAGCTTTGTGTCCTGTCCTGGTGGTACCAAATCTGGAAGAAGATTTGTGTGTCGGAGAAAAGGCAAGCGTGTCGACGCTGCAGAGTGGCCTTTCCCCGGCTAGGAGGGTTTTCCTCTTGTGCACTTGCACCTGGACTATCCCATGCAATAGGCTATTTGTCTAGATACTAATCTTATCTAAAGCATTGTAAACCCGTGTCAGCTTTTGGCCTTCCTGGGTTAATCATGTATGAGCACTGAAGATAATTTGGCATAGAAAGAGATGAATGTTAATCAGTATCCTGGTGGAAATTTCACTTCTAGCCTTTCCATTTGATCCAAGGCGGCAGATAATTCATTGTACGGTGTGTACCTAGCTGATGTTGAATGAGTTTTATCTCTTTTTACATGACTTTTCAGCTTCTGATCAGTTAGATTTGTTACGGAGGGCTATAAAACGTCTGAGTCATCTTGTTTAGCTATGCTCAGTTGGTGGGATAAGAGGTCCAATAAAGAAGAATGATATCTTTCAGATAACCTGATCTCTTGCTGCCTAAAGATTTCTGTTTCAATTTGACACGTCTGATTGCAGAATAACAGTACTCTGAAAATCTCTGATTATCGTCTGTGCCATTAAGTGCAAGTTTAATTGCTGAGTAGAAGCAAGAAGAGTTTGGAAATTTGTTCTCATTTTCTTTGGACCACACCTCCCCCCCCCAGGTATGTGTAGTGTTTGTGTGCATGTATATGTGTGTACACAAACACACACTCCCTCTCTCTAGGAAAAGTAGCAGATGAGGCTATTTTTGCCTGTTAATTTGGAGTCGATTGTTCGTCATCATCTGGGAACCCTCATCCAAACACTATCCTTCTAGCTATTGTGTTTCAGCTCTCAAGAATTAATACAAGGCATAGCTTATTTGCATGGTCTGATGTAATTCTCAAGAACAATTTCTGAGGAATGATCACATCATCTTTGAGAAGATAGCAGTCTTACTGTTTTGCAATGGGAAGTAAAATAGGATTATATGGTCTTTTCTTTTGCATCAGTGGAGATGCTAGTTAATGCTAACTAAGAAGCTTATCGTGCCAGAATACCTTAAACCAGATCTCCTGAATGGCAGGTTTCCTGCTGGTGTAACTCTTACACTGGTGTTTTATTGGCATGGCTGCATTTGTTAGGGAGCTGTAATTCTGCCCTTTCCCTTTTCCTTTCCAATCTGAGATGATAAAGCTGCCAGAGCAAACTATGCCTGTCTCCATCACTGATTTTCTTGGAGAATAAAATATGTCTACACTGACAGAAAAAGGCAAATTCTTTTCTTTTTTCTTTTTTTTGGTGTGCTTAAAAAAACCCACTCTCCACAGTAAAAGCAAACAAAACCCCTCAAAAAAACCCCCACCCCAGACACCCCCACTGCCCCCCAAACCTTTAATTAGAATCTGTCTCTTCCTCCTCTCTAACCTGTTCACGTCACCTCTCAGACCGGCATAGGCAGCTTTGAGACGGACGTTCCTATAAAGATTTGAGGAGGCATCGCCCAGTTATCTGTGCACAAACTCAGAAGCAGACAAACTAATTTAAAGTTGCTGTTCGTGTCTGGAGATTTGCACTTTTGAAGGGGAAGTCTGTGGTGGTTGTAAAAATGGGAATGCCTTTTTTTCAGAATGGCATGACGGTGAGTACTCGAACTAGTCGTCTACTTTAGCCTTAAGTTCAAGTGAGAAATAAGTAAGTATGCTATCTTAATATTTACTTTAAGAAACAAATCTTAATTAAACCCCTATTTGAAGGCACTACTTTCCATTTCATTTTGATTTAATTAGAGGTGCTTCAAGGGTATCTCAGTGCCCGAGTAGTATTTCTTATGTACGTATATTTTCTCTCGTGAAAAGTTACATCGCTTTGAAAGATTAGTATCTGTTTCACCTGAAGTAACCAGAATTTTCTAGCGAATGGGCAATTAACAGCTATTAAGAGGTTCTAAAATATTACTGCTAGGTAATTTTTCAAACAGTCCTAAATTGACCCTAGCAGAAGGGTCTTTGTCAAGTTTCATTATTATTGCAATTACAGTAGACATTCAAGCTGCTGGCATTTTCCTGAGCAGCATTTTGGAAGGGAGGCTTAAGAAAAAACCCAAAGCCTACCTTTTTGCTTTCTGTGTTTTTTGAATGTCCATTAGCTGCGTTTCCACCTCTAGCAATTAAGTTGGAAATGTCATTAACTTGCTTTTGAAGTAACGCCAGTGTGCAGTGGGTTTTGCTGCTTGATTGTGTTCCTGGTTTTGCAGAAAATTTCGCTTGATATGATTTTGAAAAGGCCATTTTTCAGGTTCTATCATGTACTTTCATCTGTAGCTTAGCTTGTTTCATCCGCAGCTGTCTGCAGCTGCACTTTCTTTTTTGAAGCTCAGTAACCACAGGTTGCAAAACTTGGTTTGTTGCAGAATTTTCTATTCTGTCCTGTGGGAAGTTTAAGTTCAAATCTGTTAATTCATGTTCCTTAGTCTTGGAAATGGCAAAAGTGTGGATGACCGTGGACCGGAAGGTCTAATTTAAGGAGCAAATGTGGGAAAACTATACTGTAGTGACCCATCTGGGAAAACAAAAGAGAACCAGTAAGCTGTACAATCTTTCCTGTTCCTGTGCCAACATTGTAGTGATACTAATTAAAATGCACAGTTTTATCCTGACGTGGTTGCTTCAACATCATCAGGCAGATTACTTTGAACGTCCCTCGCGCAACTGGGATAATTTCAGGTAAGGGCATTCAGCAGAAAGGGCTGTTTCTGTCTGTCTGAAATAGGCTCACTGAAAGTCAGGTGTGCTTCATGGTCCATCTAGTCTAAGCTTCCTGGAGGCTTTTTATTTAAAAATAAGTTGTTTTAAAAGGAAGGATTTAGTTATACAGAGGTGAACTTTTGACTAGGTCTACAAATTTACACTCTTTGAAGAAGCACAAGTATTGTTTGCAATGGATGTTCTACATCGCTGCATAGCTGGAGTACAGGCGTACTTTGTTCCCAAAAGTTCTGTGGAAATGACTGTGAAATTGAAACAAGGCTGTGGGGCATGTGTGTTTGTACATATATCTTAGGTAATCAAGAAAAAATTAATTTCTCTCTTCAATTCTAGGTGCCATTGATGCTGACGATACTTAAAAAAGCAACTCTCATGTCCCAGCTGGATTACTGAGCACTTCTGTGATTCCTGGAGGTGCTGCTGTTTAAATAAGAAATTGTCCTTAGTACTTGGCCTGTCATCTCAGGAGCATCCACTTGGGTACTGTATGCAAGTCCTTGACATTCTGGAAACGATGGGGATTGGTAAGAATACCACTTCGAAATCAGTGGAGGCGGGAGGCTCAACAGAAGGCAAATACGAGGATGAATCTAAACATCCCACCTTTTTCACCCTGCCTGTAAGTAAAACTTTCAGGGTACTACATAGTCAAGCTCAGTGTGAATCAGTGAATAATGCTTTTCTAACCATCTTGTACAAAACCTTTATTTCCACAAGTAGTTAGTAAAACCTCTTTTGCCACTTGTAACTATTTATATATAAACATGGTCAGTTATGTTGTCTGTAGTTATTTCACATCTGCGCTCCAAAGCGGTGCTGTTCGCAGGACATGCGATTCCCTGATTAGAACCATGATTAGAACAATTAACTGTCCTACTGCAGAATGCACCAGCCCCCGATGTGTCCTGAGTTGCTTGACTAAGAGTAGCAGGCAACAGCAAGGAAACATTTGCTTGTCGTCTTTTACTTAGATTTTCAGTTGTAACATCCTGTTGTACGTGTTTGCCTCTTAAGAACTCTTCCAACCAGTTTGCTGTTGGTTTTCCCCCCTACCCTCAGTTGACACTGTCCAGGCTTTGAGGAGCTCTATGTGATGTTTTTCAAGTTTCTGTATATTCCTAGACCTGCTGTTATAGAAATGATTGCTTGCCATGCTTGTAACGTTTTCTGACAAAATGTCAAAGGCATATGTCAGGTGCCAAGGGAGAAAACTGAGTGACATGAGGTATGATTGCAGAGAAAATCTTTATTTTAGGACCTTGTGTTTCTTTTTTTGTTTTATTTTTAAGGTCGTGATAAATGGTGGAGCAACATCCAGCGGTGATCAGGATACAGAAGACACAGAGTTGATGGCCATCTATACTACAGAAAATGGCATAGCAGAAAAGGTATGTAGTGGTTTCCTTCTAGGTGAGAACTCATTCTTGCTTTTTCAGTTCTATTATTAGTCCACATTAGTTTTACTTGGCTGAGAGATTTTCTTTCTCTAATCAAACATGCTGACTTTTAGATTCAGATCAGGCTTGGGGTTGTTCTGTCCTCATGACTCTTCTGGTCACACGTTTTGGTTGCAGAATGCGGGGAATGACTCAGCAAGTGTTAGAAGCAGTTAATGCACTTTGACCTGCTGCCAAAATTCATAATATGCAATTTTTTGATTTCTTCATTTCCATTGGCCTTTTGCATGGTTTCCCTGATAAGGTCATTCTGTTCTGTTCTTCAGTTCTTAACTTTTTCTGCATTGAGTCAAGTAAACTGATGGTGTTGAGCACCTTCAGAAGTGGGATCTTTCTTACTTTTGTTGCCAGTTTCTTCCAAGCTCCACCTCGTAAACTTAATTTCTCTAATCCTTCTTTCAGGTAAGGGGCTGCTTATTATTATTTAGCGACAGCTTTGTGAATGAAGTTCAGGTCTTTCATAAAAACCCTTGAACATTTTTCCTTAGGATAACGATGATTGTGTCTTAGCTATTCAGAAACACCCAGTTGAGGCCTCAAAGGAGGCCAATTTTGTTGTGATTTTTCCAGCTTTTTTCTCAACTCCATCATTCCTCAAGCCTGTTCAATAATAATCTTGCAAGAAGAGACAGTGTGAATCTAAGCTTTTGTTTAAAATAAGGAAGAGGATTACAGTAAATCCGAACAGCACCTTCTTCTGAAATTTTTATATCTAATTGGCTTTGTGGTTAAGCGTTATCTCTGAAATGCCTCAATTTGACCAAATTTTTCAAATTTGCTAATTGAAACAAATAAAAACTCTCTTGGTTCCAAGCAAGAGTATCGTGATGCTCATTTCTTTGTGGTTGTAACTTCTGTTGGGGCAAGGATGATACCAAAGGGTGTAGTTAAGGTTTTCTAACTCGGACATCGAAATTCACTTCTGAATTTCAGATTTAAAATGTACCCTGAACAGGTGATTCTGACAGAGGTCTTAGCGTTACATTTTAAAAGAATGTTACGAATGCCACCGTGTGCCTTCATATACTCTGTCTCTTACAGATCGTCTGCCTGTATGTCTCAAATACAAATACTACCGTCTTGCTCATGCTGATATTTTAATGGACAAATTTTGGCAACTGTTGACATGCATATGTCTGTGATGGCTGATTTTTGGAGCATGCTCAGACTAGCGTGGAGAGAGACAATCTGATAAAAGCCTTGAGCAAAAGGTGTTGGGATGAAATTGTGCAACTAAGATTAGCGATCTCTAGACATTAAAGCATGTCTTCATGGCCTGTTTTTACCAAACGTATATTTTTCTCTCTTCCACTTGATCCGTGTGATCTGAACTGTAAATGATGGATGATAATTCACCTTAAAGAGACCATGAGCTTTTAGTCAACCAAATCTGCTTGAGTTGAAGCTTTGCTGTGGCTTACAGTGAATGAACAGTGAAAGGAGGGGCTGTAGCAATTAACAGCCTCATGTATTAAGACAGTATTTCTGGTAATCTAGGCAAACCTCCTGCTTTTCACTTAAAATAAGCGTGTGTATGAAGCATGTTTGTTCTTGGCTTTCTATTCCTCTTGAGAGATCATTCACCAAAAAAGCAAACGAAAGACCTTGAATAAAAAGCCTTTTAACAAAGGGGACTGAAATGTACTTAATTGCTGGAGGATGCCCAATGCTTACATTGTCTCACAATATTTGTTAGCTGAAACAATAAATTATTAGCCCAGATGAGAAATAACTGTATTGTTGCATCCCTATAAAATAAACAATACTATGCTGCTTATTAGAATCATAGAATCATTAAGGTTGGAAAAGACCACCTTTTGCTCAAGGCTTTTATCAGATTGTCTCCCTCCACGCTAGTCTAAGCGTGCTCCAAAAATCAGCCATCACAGACATATGCATGTCAACAGTTGCCAAACCATCAACCCAACACCCCCATGCCCACTAAGCCATGTCCCAAAGCGCCTCATCTACACGTCTTTTAAATACCTCCAGGGATGGTGACTCCACCACTTCCCTGGGCAGCCTGTTCCAAGGCCTGACCACTCTTTCAGTAAAGACGTTTTCCTAATGTCCAGTCTAAACCTCCCTTGGCGCAACTTCTCCAGACTAAACGACCCCAGTTCCCTCAGGACTATTGTTTAATAGAATTAATTTGAATATGTTGTCGGCTCTTTATTTAAGGTATTTATACCTCTTTATTTAAGGTATTTCTCTAAAGGCCTTATTCCCCACAGCTAATCAGTTTTCTTGTGGTCCTTCACGCTAGTACTTGACAACAGAGCCTTCATCTTGCACTGTTGGGGTTTGCTTCCTTAGGTTTTGGGGTGGGTTTGTTGGTTTGGTTCCCCTCCAGTAGTTTTGCTCCGCCTTTATCTCTGTCTCATTTTCCCCCCCCTGTTTTTACTTATTCTGTGCTTTTTTTCATTTTTGTGTTGTCCCACTTTTGGCCAATTAAAAATAATGAAAAAAAGAATTAGTCTCTGATCAGTATCTCATGCAAAAAGGTGCAGTTCATTCCCAGCAGTTCCCTGCAGCGTACTATGGCATACTTGGCAAGCACCAGCACGTAGTCAGTATATTAAACCAGCAGGCGCACACTCGAGAGATGAAAGGGCCAGTGACTACCCAGTGACTTACGAGCAGGATCGCTGGACCTCACCCTAGTTCTCAAATTCCTCATCGTTCGGTCTTGGTCTCTTTTGTGCTGGTTCCCTTTAGCCATTATCTGCTAAAGGTTTGATGAAGGTGAAAGCTTCCTCTTCGAAAGCAGAATAAGTCTGCCTTTTGGAAGAAATGAGGAGTATCCTGGATTTTTTTTTATCTGACCACTTTGCTGTGTAGGACAGACATTGCTATAACAATTACGCCTTAAAGTTTGAAATTCTTCTGTTAGAAGACCTTTAGACTTCACTTTCTAAAGGAGAGCTTAAATTGGTTAGCAGTTGTCGATCTGTGCCCATAGAGAGCTTTCTGCGTGCTGTGGACAAGTTGACTTGTTCCTAGGCCTGGTGCCTGCTGATCTTTTTGTTTGCAGGCAAATGTAGGCATAAATGTAATCACAAAGGAAAAGCTGTGAAAGGACTAATAAACTTGCTGCATATGCCATCGTCTTCCTGGTAGAAACAGGTCACCATTTCTGATTTCTGCTGCCCAAAGACGAGGGGGAACATAATAAAATAAAATATAATATAATAGCAGGTGGAAAGGTTAAGGAATGTACTTGATGCAACCTCGTTAGTCCTATGAAGAAAAATTAGTGTTCGGCACTAAGTGGGACAGTTAGGTAGCTACTGGATATTGGTCTGACAAAGTTAGAAAAGCCAGAAAAAGAGGCCAGAAGATGGGTTTTCAAAGGTAGAGCCACCAATCTGCACAAATCACTTACTGCATTTTTAGAGAATCTGGTATCCCGCATGGGAGCATCATGAACGTTGAAAATCCCATTTCTGTCTGTCCTTGGAAGGAGTGATGCAGGTTGCTCAGTGCACGGTGGTAGGTGTTTTATCTTTTCACACTGCAGTCAGGTGGGGACTGTCTGCAGTTTCTTCTCCTAAATCTGTGCTGCTATTTGGGTGGCTTCAGCAAGCTAATGTTGACGTGATTCATGAAGCAAACAGTTAATTTCTGCTGGTACCTCTCTGTTCCTACCTCGCGAGGAGATTTGGTAACCATTCTTACTTTTCCTTCATGACCTCTGCCTCTCTGAAAGTGTATGATGACCTCTTAGTCCAAATGTTGAATAAACAGGCAGTATCGCTGGTGAGCAAAGTTCTCAGATTGAGCTTATGTTGGTTGCAGTGAAATAGAGGAGAGGTGAGGCAGTCGTACACGCACATGTATTTTTTATATACATATGTGTGTGTGTGTGTGTTTGTATAGTCTCTGGGGAAAAAGTTAACAAAACTGCTTTATAACAACAGAAGGTATCACAGGAGCTTCTCTGGGTGAATCTTTTCCTGAGCAGGTTCTTGGAAGAAGCCTCTAGTGATGATAAATATCCTGCTCTTTGTCCATAACTATGTTGGCTGTTGAGTCTTCCTCCTTCTGCCTGTCTTTGTGGGTCAGCCACTTTGTGCCCTGCCTTGGATCTACACATAATTGCATTGACATGAGGATGTACACATTTTTTCTTAAGTTCCAGTTACAGACAAGATGTGTAGAGGTTTACTGCTGCTCAGTGCTCTCCCTCCAGTATGAGGTGAAGCTCTAAAACTCAAATTCCTGGGTTTTTTTATTTGTTGTTTTTTAGAAAATCAGGTCAGGAGAGCAGTCTTTCATTTTTCAGTCAATGAAAAAATTACCTTGGTGCTGCAAATGGGGAAGATGAGTTGCTCAGTGAACCATTTCCCTTATTCCTCTGTTTAGGACCTGTACCTTATTTAAACTAATCCTGGTGAGCAGATTGCTCGGTGCTTAACATTGTTTAAAAGAGCCTTCTGAAATTAGTGTTTCTATATTTTGCTTTTCCATTGTAATACCCTCGACCTTACCATACCGGTGTGGTCATTTACACTCCCTGAATTTGAATTAACCCAGTGGCATTTGTTTTCCCAACAGAAATCAGAGGTAAGAGGGAGGTACCATGGGTCAGTATGGCTTCCCTGACCTTGTAGGTGATAAACCAGATGGAGATTATCTAAGCGTAATCGGTGGATGTGTTGTGATTTTTGAAGAAGTAAAGACCATTTGAGGCAAAGTCACGAGTCTGGCAAAGTTCCCAGTCTTTGTGTAAGGCTACTTCACATGAATTTGTTATGTTCCAGTGTGGATTAGGTCAGAACAGTAGTTATGTAAGGTATTTTTTGGTTAGTTGAGCTGAAATTATAAAATCTGATACTTCCTCCTGCTTTTGTTGTTGGTATTTGGGCTTTGGAGCATTGTGTTTTTGTTCTCAGGAATTTCAAAACCAGAGCGTTTGAATGAAATGATTCCACTTAAGTTGTAAAGAAGAAATGATTGAGCTGAATCTTGTTTTAATGGCAAATCTGCAGGGATTTTGATGCGTGTATATGTGTGGTCAGTTGTCTGTTAGCTCTCTGTGAATTAGGGCACATGGTAGGCCAGAATGTGGTCTTGCTTAAATTCCTGTAGGTTTGGAGGAAGTCCGCTTGACTAATATAAATTGGCTGTGGATGTATTCAGTTATAATGATTAGCATTTTTCTGGACTGCTTGAATGTGGGGTGGAAGCAAAAATAATAAATCTTGTGCCTAAAAAAGGTTAACCAAGACTGAAATTGAGTAAGAATTAAGCAGGGAAGCAATTACCATAATGAGGAACTTTCTTGCCTGTGATTTTGGTCTCTTATGCAAGGATAGCCATTCTGCTTTGAAAATAGCCATTGTTGACTCTTCTACTTCGTTCCTCCTCTCTCTTCGTTCCTCCTCTCTCTTCGTTCCTCCTCTCTCTTCGTTCCTCCTCTCTCTTCGTTCCTCCTCTCTCTTTCATAAACAGTTCTGTCATGATAATCCCTTTTTTTGGGCACCTTTTGGCTGCCAGATCAGTTATATCATAAACGAACAATTGTTGTGTTAGTATAAATAAGCAGGGAATGGCTTATAGAAGTGAATGTGTGTGGTACACGTTCAGTAGCTACAGCTGGAGATGAGCTCGTCATCAGAGGTAAAAGACTTTAAAAATGTAACATATCAGCATTGCTTGGGAGTATTATACCAGCCTTGGAGTATCTGGGAATTGCCTGGTAGTTCAAATTCAGTTTATTCATATGTAACAGTAACCTACTGTTGTCCTTTGTGTCCTCCCCCACTTTTTTACCCTCCCCACCTTTCTACCCTCCCTATCAAAATAGAGCTCTCTGGCAGAGACGCTGGACAGCAGTGGCAGTTTAGACGCACAGAGAACTGACATGATTTACACTATTGAAGACGTTCCTCCTTGGTATCTCTGCATATTTTTGGGGTTACAGGTATGTTTCAAAACAGTTATAATATTTTTCTCTGTAACTTTTAAAGGTTGTTTAGCATTTTCTGTGTAGCTCATTGCATTTGTGTATCTGGTAATTTTATTCTTCCCATGCTCTCACGTGTTTGAAGAAAGTGTTAAGATAGTTTCTTCTGAAGTTGATCACAAAGATTACTGTGTTGATAGTGATCAATGTCATTGTTTGCTGGCTTATGCATTTGTGAGATTCACTTCAATATTTAGTCTTCTAAGCAGCTGTTAGTAAATAAGTGAGCAAATGCTAAGTGGTAAGCTTCAGAAAGTGACATTTGGCACCTCTGGAATTAAAGATGGAGAGACATAATGGTTTAGTCCTGAAATTTTGAATATTAAAGCTGCTACTGTGGTCACTTCAATTCTGCAAGCTTGATAGCATCATCCTGGACCTGTAGGCTCACTAGAAAGCGGGGCAGGCAAATTCTGCACTCCTTGGAGTGGGAGTATGTGCTTCCTGCAGTGAGTAGGGACATGGACCCTACTACCAGCTCAGCCACTCAATTGTGTGAAGTGGAACAGCTTGTTTCATCTCCTTTCTTTCTCAAACGGTAATAATATCTGTCCCACAGGAATGCTGAGAATTTGTTAATATCTGTAAAGTATGTTGAGATCCCCAAACAAATACATTCCAGAGCATCCTTTTTATTTCTGCCTTTCCTCGAGGACAGGCAGTTCTGTAGGGATTATATTTTTACTTGCATTGTTGAATATGGTGACTTGTGTTTGTTTGTTTGCTTAATGTATTTGGATTGAAAAAGAATTAATGAGTACCTCATTTCTGGTACTTGTGAGCTTATTTGCAGCCTAGTTTGTGTGTGCTCTAAGTTCATTTGTAAACTAATGGTTTTTCACATGGTTGAAAGTGAATGGAGTTATTTATCTGCTTTTCTGAGTTAGAAGCTGTTTTCAGCACAGTTACCTAGATACCTCCTCCTCAAGAACAGTAGCCATGTAGCTATGTAAATAACCTAGCTTATCCTACAGAAATAGCGATCATTAGCAACAGGCTAGTGGTAGCTCGACATGGAAGGAAAATACTTGAAGAAATCCTTAGGACCAGGAAGTGAGAGCTTTGGTGGATAATTCAAAAGCAAATTACCCAATGCAAAAGAAAAGATGGTCATAAATTTATTTACCTATTAATATTGGCTGCGGTGTTAACAAACCATTTTTCTCTTCACAGCATTACTTAACATGTTTCAGTGGAACTATAGCAGTGCCCTTTTTGCTAGCTGATGCCATGTGTGTTGGGTTTGACCAGTGGGCTACCAGCCAGTTGATTGGGACCATTTTCTTCTGCGTGGGCATCACTACATTGTTACAAACAACTTTCGGGTGCAGGTAAGATTTGGGACTTGTTTCTAGTTGTTGAGATGGTGATAAGACTAGACATCTGTTGGGATTTCCAAGAGGTAGTTTATTTTCGAAGGATAAACGTGAAACACAAGATAGCAGGTCAAATACAGGGCAGTTAGGGAAAGCTTTTGGAAAGCTGCTCCCAAAAAAAGGTGGATCTGAAATCAGAGAAGGCATTCCGAGGGTAAGAAAATACAGCAGGGGCAGGGAGAGGGAAGAAGGAGGAGGGAAATCCATGAGGCAGGGAAGGTAGAAGTGTTTCTGGGGGAAAGGAAAAGTTCATACAACTTGGTAAAGAGGAACTAATTTTGATGTTTTTATTAGTTTCTTGAATGATACTATATACTTGCCAATATTTAGGTGGTTGTGATTAATTCTATAGCAAATTGTGTGCTTGTTCCCGTAAAGTGCTTGTCAAATTAAAAAGGTAGGTAAAAATGATGAGGGTAACTTTTTATTCTGTGAACTGAGTGTGTCTCTCTTACCTTCCAATACAAACAAATCATTTGTTTTTATTTGTTAGGTGCTCTGAGTTGCAGGTAATGATCCTCCCTTGAGTTGGGAAGCAACACATATGTTAGTGTAGCCTTACAGGGATGCCTGTACCTCTTCTTTGGTCTGCTCTCCGTAGGAGGATGCAAGAGATCAATTCAGGTGTTAGCAAATACTTGTAAAAATCTGATGTTGGTAAGAACAGGATGTTGTAAGTTTTATTAACATGAAGATAAATCTTTTAAAAAAATGTGTCTTCTACAATAAGCACTGCAGAGAGATGTTTGACAACTTAAACTTTTGTTGACTCTGCCTGTGAGAACCAGGAATAGCTAAAACCTGCAGAGTTATTTCTGCATCTTCTTGAATAAACCAAGAGTGATAAGTAAAACCAGAAGAAAAGTGCATATTTTAAGAGTTTGCCCTCATATGGTTACTTGAATGATTCATGGGTCATTTAGTTCAATTTAAGAACAATATGAGCTGAAATCTTGCATTCCAAAAGAAAATGGACAAACACCCCCCCCATTTTTAAAGATTTATCTAAGAAACAGAATCTTTGGGTGGAAAAGTTATCTCAATAGGGTGCAGAAGACAAGCCTATGGTAGATCACTTGCAGTTGTAGGTCAGCTTTTCATCTAAAAATTTTCCAAATATTTCAGGTTTTCCAATGTAATCTTGAGTTGCTATTTTAGTTAGCTTTAGTTAGCTTTCTTGTCTTTTTTCCTTTGGGAAAAACCTTCCCTTTGTTTTTTTATTATGTCTTACTAAACTTACAAAGTCGCTCTGCTGTTTTGTATGAAAAGTTCATTCTGATGACAAAACCGCATAATGAAAATAGTTGAAAGAGAAAATTTTCTTTCCCCAATGTATTTTCTTTTAGTCAAGACTACCTGCAGTTAATAATCATATTTTCCGCCTGATTGGCTCTTTGTGCTCATAGGGTAGCTTGCCTTAGCTGTAATCATAAATTTTAAAGTACCTCGTCTGAAAGGAGGCAGAGGAGCAGAGTTGTGCCCTTTGGTGTTTTGAACCTCTCTTTTAATGAGAGTGAGGTATTTTTTTTCCCCTGTCTTCTATTTGTGCTTTATATAGGGAGTGGAGGGATTGTTGCCCTAGGCAGGAACTGGAAGATAAGGTCTTTTATTGTTCAACTTTGAGTTGAATCCCTGGATTTACTGAAGTTTAAAATCTTCCAATTTTGTAAGAAGTGCAGAGTTGCAGATGGAGATGAACTCAAAGGGGAGCTTGGCTTTCCTGTGCTGCTACCAGCTTTATTCTGCCTCAGATTTATGAGAAAAAGCTTAGAGCTTAGTTTTTGTGCTTCCTGAGACTTGTATCTCTTCACAGAACTAAAGTTTGTCATATTTTGGTTTTTTTCCAAACTAATCTTGGGCTTTTCCTCTTTATTACTTACTATAGAGTGATTTTGGGCTCTTGCAGAAACCAGTGCGGTCCCATCAGTTTGAAATGCACTGTTCCTTCTGTATAATCCCACCTTTGCCCTCCGTGTGGTTTTTTTATGCTAGTCGGTGGCTTCCACTTGCACATGTTTATATACTGAAGAGGCAATTGTGTTTGGGTCTTAAAATAAGTGAACCCTGTATTTAAGGAGAACACTTCCGCAGTTGAATGTTTTATAACTATTTAACATGTGATTCTGGTTTTATGTAAGGGTGGGAATGGGATATAGCAGCAACGTTCTCTAAATGAGATGTTAAAGTATTTATTGGCAAGTCTGTCAACTGCTAAGTATTTCAGCAAATAAAGCCACTACGGTTTCAAAAGGTCAAATTCCAGGTTTAAAGGTCCTTAAAGATGGATTTAGCTCAATTATGAGGAGGAGTTGTGGTCAATTTGGTACCCATACTAATTTTAGGAATTCAAGCTATTTATTAGGTTATGTAATAAGCCAAAAGTATTGGCAAGGATTCAGAGTGATTAGTATGACTGAGATAATCAAACACAGCTTTACTATACGTAAAGATTTTAGGTTTGTTGCTGTGCCCATCGCTACATTGTCTAAGCATTCTTACATCTGTGTGACATGTTAAGATAATGAAGACATTTCCAGATGACTTTAACTGCGTAAAAAGCTCTGTCTTCACAAGGGCTGGTGCCAAAATTGAGCAGCTTCACAATTTAGACATTAAATTAAAATGATATCCCAATCATAAGCTGATGGTACTTTACCCAGCTAGTAGCAAATGCCTGGCTTAGCAATCGAAAAGGTATTTCCTAAGTTATGTTCCAAACTACAGCTGTCTCTTCAGAAAGAGACTGATTATAATTGGCTAATTTTGAGTAATAAGTTTTTAAAAAAAAAAAAAAGTCTTTCTGCTTAGGAAAAAAAGCAATATTTTGAGCCTACCAGCCCTTTTGGTAAATATTCCAGGTTAACTGTCTCATATAAAGGTTGAGCCGATAGCTAACGAGACGTACTTAGACCTTATTATGCTCTATGTATGCAGGGTATTTTATGTGATACAAAACTCACAATCTGGACCTAAGTCTCAGTACAACTGACTTCATCACTGGAGAATGTGTTTGCGATGCGTATTTACAAAATCATTGAGGGGGGACAGCGTACTGTGTAGGTGGGATAGAGGAGTAACAGCTTGTTACAGGTATTGCATATTTTGCCATGGGCACCAGCTTGCTCAGTTTGCTTAATGAACCTTGAAAAATAAGGTGAATCATTCACTCGTAGCTACCAACCGTTTCTTCACCAAAGATAAAGCTTTGATTTTTGCTCGAAGAAACTTAGAAGGGAGTTGCATGCCAGTCAGGTGTGCTCAGATGGCTCGTGTATTTTATGAAGTTTGACTTTCTAACGCAGTTTTCAATGTTTGCGGTGGGTGGGTCAGCTTTTTAGATTGCTCGTGGCCCAAGCTCCTTTCCAGTGGTAGTTCAACTGTTCTAACTTACTGCCTGTGAACTCTACAACTCCTGTTAGTAACAGGCTTCTGATTTGATCTTTTTTGTGTTAAGCGTGTATAGGATTTTTTCCCCACAGATTTTTTTTTTTTTTTTTCCTTCCTTCTTTGTGCCTTTTCTGATCTCTATCTGAATCTGCTACAGTTAGTTCTTTTTCCTTTACTGGTGTTTGCACTGGCATTGAGGCACTTCATTGTGGCTGTAAAACAGCCGTAAACACGGTGCGGTAACTAGAGCCGCAAGAGCAATTAAGTTTTCCCTGTGTTACAGTTTGAGATCTGCTATTAAAGAGAATCGTATTACAATCCATTAATGACGGTATTTATAGAATAGTTCAAAGTGCATCTTCTCTGTAGTTAAGTAACATCTGGATATTTGTGATGTTATGCAAGTTGATTCAATAAATATGTAGTTGGTGCTGGTAAATGCTCTTTAGATCTTAAACCTTTTGGGAAGTATAAACACCAATGCGAAGAATGTCATCTTGAAATTCTGGCAGCATTTGTATTTATTGTTGGTAGCCACGCGGAACATCTAATCAGCTCTTATCAACCTAATAGTTATTTACACATATACTTAAAGATGAATGTATAAATGACTGTACTTCAAGTCATGCAAAGGGAAGGTATTGAGTATGCCGACTGCATATTGCTCTATCAGAGAGCTTCTTTAATGTGGCGGGACGGTAAAAGCTGCACGTTCAGCAGTCTGGCTGATACTTACATCAGAACGTGCATCTGTATCCTTGTTATGCTGCTGAGTCAAAACCTTAAATCAATGTCTGGTACCTGCATGCTGGTGTCCCGTAGTTATCTGTTATAGGCGTTGTATTAATAACTTCATGCACGTAGTGTCTTCTGTTACGTCTTTTGGTTTGTGAAGTCTTAGTATTTCTATGTCTGTTCTTTTTAATAAGAAATTTTCATATTTCGCATTTCTAATAACCCCCAATAAAGGATGGTTTTGAGGATGAGTAACCACCTAACTGCAATTGATATCCTGACACAGTGCCATAACACCGAGAAATGTCAGCATCTCTTCTTTCCCTTTCCACCAGGTTACCCTTGTTTCAAGCGAGTGCTTTTGCATTCTTAGCACCTGCTAGAGCAATACTCTCCCTGGAGAAGTGGAAATGTAATAATACAGGTAATTGTCATTTATGCTTGTTCAGGTTTAAGTGACAAACGACCCAGATCACATATCGTGAAACTGCCGAACCTTTTGACATGGAAAGTGGAAGTAATGAACAGGGAATATGAAAAATTCTCTCCTTTAACAATGTTAAAACTTTTGTGCCTTGGAAAAAGATTCCTAAAAATGCCCTTGCGGAATTCTGGTTTTGGGGTTTTTTTTTTTTAATAATAAAAATGTTGACAAAAGAAATCTAGCAGTAGCATAAAACAATTCTTTTGTTAACAATGTAGAGAAAGGCAAAAGGATTCCTTAAATGTTCCTTTTTGGTACTTAGAAATAGTAAGTCCTGTCGAGTCCTTTTAAGTTGAGTAGTAGTAAGTTTGAGCAATGTTCAGCATCACCTCAAGACCAGCATTTTTACCTGTTTACCTCATACCTGACAGGTTTTGCAGAGCAAGCTTTGACAATATTTGGATGTTCATTTTAACTACTTCTATGCTAACTTCGTCATCCTGAAAGGCTTTGAATTTATTTAGAGTGAAAATGTGCAGTAAAACTGGTTGTGTAGGGGGCTTTTTCTTTAGCTTAGGTTAGAAAACTGAAGTGGAAACAGCTCTGGCAGTTTTCTTTTTAATGGGGTGTGGTTATTCAGTAATAAGGCTGTGGGCAGTGCAAGACAGCAGCATAGAGAAGCAGGCTGCTTGCTTCTAACTAAAGTTCTTCCCGGGGGTCCTTTTGATTCTCTAATAATTTCTATTGTTTATGTGTTTATACATCTCTCTTGATTCACTTATGACCATCCAATTAGTTTTCCTCATGTTTTTTCTATAGAAAACTTAGCTTTGAGCATTCACATTTTCTCACTGGGGGAGTCAGATTTAGCTACTGGGAAATAGCATGTGGGTTTCTGTGCCCAATGCGTAAGGGCGAACTGTGGTGTGCTTTAGTAGTGCTCGCTGTCTTGGCTATATCTGTGCGCCAAAATGTGCCAGTATCCTAATATACACCTTGTTGAAAGAAAATACAGTCTGATAACCTTTGATGGCAAAGCAATTTTTCCACTACTTCAGCTTTTCAGAAAGAGCCTTTGCTACATCTTGCTCTTGAACCTTTTAACCTTCAAAAGGTGTCAGATGGGGTTGTAACCACGGGTCAATTCATCATTGAGGGAGTGACCTAAATTGGTGAGCAACAGACGTTGGAGTACTTGATTCCTAGTGTGCAGTTGAGTAATTCTCCATTCATCTGTTTATTGGAGTGGGAAAAGAATCCCTAATTGACCTTTCTTTTTGAAAGTTACGATTTTTTTCCACTCTGGTACAGTGGGTAAAATTAGCGGTTAGCTCTTGGGGAATGTAAGCATGTTATTACTTGATTTGTAGCATTGCCGAACTTCTATTCTGTGTAAATCAAGGCTCATTTGTCAGACACAGCTTAAGGAGAGATTTATTTTGTATTAAATGATGGCAAAGTGGCCAAGGAATAAAATACCTGTGTTTTTTCTTTTTTTCTTTTTATAAGATATAACAGTTACAAATGGAACGACAGAACTGCTTCACACTGAGCACATCTGGTATCCCAGAATACGAGAGGTAATGTAGGAGTAGCATTTAGCTGTTGATCTGTCCGATTCCAGTTAAGTTTCTCACCTAACCGTTTGTGTGTTCTCGTCTTTAAGTTGGTAATTTCTTCTTTCACTGCAATTTCATTTGAATATATCCCTTTACTCATTTCATGGAAGTCATCATCTTTTCAACTTGTTCATTGCTGGACAGCAAATACAAGGAGTTAGTTACCACATTCCAAAAGATGCGCAGTAAAATGCACAAGCAGGATGAATGCTCTTCTTGCAACGCTTTGCAATTTGTGCTCGCTGGTAGCAGTTCAGCTGCCACCAGACCACTTGCCTGCTGTCACTCTGTTCAGTAGGCTGTCCCGTGGAAGGTAAATATGCAGTTAGCAAATCTGTTCATCCCTAGGTGTCTTAAGTTGGAGACTATTCTGATAAGACGTTGATTCTCCCAAGAGACTTGCTGAACTATACCAAACTCCTTCTCCACTCGCAGCACTGCAGTCTGAACTTCATCATGCTCTGCAGAGCCCAGGATGAGGGTTGTGCCCAGGCGTCACACTAGAGTGGTAGATAGCGTAGTCCAAATTAAGGCGTGTGTCATGGAATTTATCTCCCATCCCGTTGCTTTGGGCTGCACACTTTTCCTTAATTAAAAACAACCCCTCTCTCTTCCCCATGTTCAAACCATAGCTACATCCTGCCAAGAGCCCTGCAGCCAAGAGGGCTGACAGTCTCCTGAGACCACAACGCTGCTCTATACCAGCTTCTAAGGAGCACTTGTGAACAATGCAGCATACACTCTGCCCCTAGGAGCTAGGAGCATCACCTCCGTGGCGCCACCAACCCTTGCCGGTTCGCTCTGAGAGCTTAAAGGTTAGCCTGGAACCCAGGTCTCCTGTCTGACAGTGTCATGTGCTATCCACACAACTACCAGACTGGCCCACTGGTCTGTTGTGTAATAGTTTTGTGGAGAAAGCCATAAGTGTTATGCTTAAGCAATAAGTCACTTAAACATAATGAGCTGTTTTATGACAAAAAATTTGCTGAGTTCTTCTGTGTCACTGAATTCTTTTAACTGCAGTTTGTAATCCAGAGCAGAAAAAGAAATGTTTTGGGTTTGCTTTTAAGATTTGACTGAACCGTCTCTTTCCCGTTCTTGTGTGTTCAGATCCAAGGTGCTATTATCATGTCCTCCTTGATAGAAGTGGTGATCGGTCTGCTTGGCCTTCCCGGCGCCCTGTTGCGATACATTGGACCTCTGACCATCACGCCAACTGTTGCTCTCATCGGCCTCTCCGGTTTCCAAGCTGCTGGAGAGAGAGCAGGCAAACACTGGGGTATCGCTATGTTGTAAGTACTCCTGGGTGTTCTTGGCTTAGGCCGGGGGTCCCAGTTGGTAAGTCGTCATGCAGGAATTTTGGAGTGCCAGGGAAGAGCCAGAGTCTGCTCGGCTGCCAAAGGCAGCATCGCAGTGCTCCCAGCATGGAGAAATACCATGTGCAGGAATGTGAGTGGGTCTGGGTAGGGTCAGCTGGCAATTTGGGAAGGAGAACAGCAGCAACTCAGGAAGAGGAGGAAGGAAGGGGCAGCGGCTGAAAGTGAGGTGTGGAGCACAGAGAATTTTATAAACAATAGTTGATCTGGGAGCCATTGGCTGGGTCTAATTCAGAGCTATAGAAAAGATGATTTAGCAAAACACCAGAGAGATTAGTGAACAATTTCTGTTTCTGTTTTTGTGATGCTATTGTGTGTGTTTCTTACTCTGCAACAGCGAGCAAATACCATTGGTAGTAGTGGTCCATTTGTCATTATTACTGGTTTGCTTACCTATAGCCAAGAGAAATTTGTATGACGACAAAGAGCATACGTATTTCCATGAATGCTATCAGTTGATGAGGCATAAGTAGACAGATTTCTGCTTAGTAGACAAAAAGTCTTTTAGAGTGAATTTCAGGGCATGATGTGTGTGCTTCTGTAGGTGTAGATGCCAGGGAAATTAAAGAATTGAGATTAGTTGTATGAAAGGGAATAACTGAGAAAACTGAGATGAAGAGAAGACAAAAGCTTCCTGTGAGATGCTGTGGATAACCAGCCAAATAAGGATGGAAACCACATTTTAGGGAGAAGGAAATTGGCTGAAGCAGTTGCTATATTCATTGGGTAGCGACCAACTTTGTGCTGGCTCTGGAAGCGGAAGGAATGACTTGATGAGATCAGATTCTGATCTGACTAATCTGTTTGCACAGTACTTTGAACATGTAAAGTATTCTGTAAGTGCAGCTTATGATTAAAGGGCTGTTTAATTCTCTTTTATCTTGGATGTTAGCATCATGAATATTTTTGTAATTCTATTATGTTAAGCAGCTGACCCAAAGGAACATTTTATTTTCCTGTAAAACAAATTCTATGCAAGTTGGGACTAATGTTAAATCAATCAAGCAGACCTTCGGTGAATTGGACATAGAAACGTGTAATTAAAGTTGGCATTTTGCAGATGGAAAAAAATAAATCAATTTGGAAACAGGAGTTAAATATTACTCGGTCAATATGTATTTCTGGCTTCTGCCACACAAAAATGTGCACTAGATTGTTGAAAATAACTCCATAGCCATCGAGAGCCACTCAAAAGTAACTTGATCTCTACAAGATGTGGCACTTGAAATAGTCTTGACTGTTCTGATGAGATAAAAATACTGTATTGCTATCTAGCACAGCAGAATAATACCTGTGTCAGAGCTATTATCCTCTGTTAGCTGCAGATGCTATTTGACAAGACTTTCAGGTTCCCAAACAGTTTTCTGACCTCGCTTGTTCTGCGGGTGCCAGGCTGAAATAGTTTAATCCATAAAACACACTGCACCTTGATCTCTAAAAAGGGAAATTATTCCTGAATTGGTCTTTGCCTGTACATCTGGTGAACAAAACTGTTTCTTTGGGCATTTAAAGATTTGGTAATATTTTACAGAATGGCAGTAAGCCCCCCTGCCACGTAGCCAATATAATATTATTTACAATAATATAATATTATTACATTATTTACAACTCTGTACTAAATAAGTCAAAATACAAAGCCACCTGTCCTCAGGGCTAGCGTGGCAGGATAGCTGCAGTTAGGGAGTGGAGCCCATCTTTCCATAATGGGCTTTGGGAGAGATGCCAAAATGTTTCCTGAATGCAAGGAAAAGGTGCCTTTATTATTCGACTGTAGTCGGGGGTAAAGGCTATAAATGACACCCTTCTTGTGCAGAGCTCTTTGTGCCTGGAGACTGAGGGAGAATAAAGCTCTGTTTTGTTTCTTACAGACTGAAACTGATCTTGGACAGAAAAGGGAGGGAAGCCTAAAATCCACCTTTTTTTTTTTTTTTTTAGCTGATAAAAACATAATCTCAAATTTCAGAAAAGCTCTGCTGCTTCTTACAGCTTGACTCTTTGTGTAGCCTTTTTGTAGCAAGACTGGTTTTGGCTATTTCAGAATTGAGCAACCTGCCCTGGCTTTTTATTTTTCATTGCAGTGGATACTTATTCTAGCTGTAGAGTTGGAATTAATTTTTAACGTGTAGTGGAGCTTAGCAGTTTTGACAAGGGGGGAAGATGCATAACGCTTGAGGCATCTAAAAATTGCAATAAACTGGGTTACTGGTGAACTGCAATTGAATGGAATCTTGGTTTTTTGGGCTGTATTCTGCTTGATTTACAGCTGTGTAGTGAAAGATGCATATACAAAAAAAATTGGGATTCTTAAGAATTGAAGAAAGAATTTCCCTTGACAGAAATTTTTCAAGTGCTTTGGAGTTTTATGCAAATTTTGAAATGTAAAAATTACTATATACTGGCCTCCAGTTTTCCTTTTTCTTCCCATTTGCTAGCAGCAACCTTTATGCTTCATATGCAGAGCCGACCTGGACACACAGATAGTTAGAGTTTGAGTCAGAAAGAGGCAAGCAGCGCAGCATAGCTCTTTGCTAGTGGCTGCTTACCTCTGAAGATCTTTCTCTAGTCTAATTAATTTTCCTGGTTTTATTTGCCTGTTTGCTGCTGACTGTTGTTGCAGCACTTTAGAATACAAATTATGTTGTTTTGGCTTTCGTGGAATAATAATTTATTTTAAATATATTCTCTTGTGATGCTTTGTCTTGTGCTAAATTTAAAATGCACATTTATATTCTGTGTCTGAAGAGCCTGAACAGGTTTGTGCTGAGAAGGATTTTTAACATGTTGGTGCTAATGACATGTCTCTCTTGTCCCACCCTCCCCCTTTTTTCTCAGGACTATTTTCCTAGTATTGTTGTTTTCTCAGTATGCCAGAAATGTCAAATTTCCCTTACCCATTTACAAATCTAAGAAAGGATGGACAGCATACAGGCTGCAACTTTTCAAGATGTTCCCTGTAAGTAGTTGAACTTGTTCTTCAGTTGGCAAAAAAAACCCTAATTTGTGTTTTGGGGTTCTTTTTTCTTGGTTTTGATTTTTCTTAATAATACAGTAGATCACAAAGGTGAGATAAAAGCTTAAATGGGCTTATGGGAAACTTAACTAAATGGCTCATTTGCCACAGGAAATAGTCTCCTATTGTAGTCTTGCCAGATCCCATTCTAGTATCCATCTCTGATGAAGAGTCGTTGGAGTGATGAAGATCATGGAGGGGAGGGAAGGGGGTAGAGAAGAAGGTGTATTTATGCATGCAGTGAAAGCCTAAACTGAGCCCTCCAAAAAGGGATGGCGAGATTATTATCTTCTAGTTTTATGAAAGCAATACTCCATTCCCCCATGTGAAAGACTTCTTTCTATTTCTCTGGTAAAGTTGAGACTAATTCACTAGTTTGTTTAAGTGCCCATTTGGAGACTTTCCCATTTGTTAGGGGAGAGAAGAGGCTTGCTCTAATTCTAAAGCTTTTGTAACAGCACCTTCGTTAGGGGCCAGGGGTAAACACCTAACGGATCTATTACAGGATTTAATGCTTGTTCAGACTTAAAATCTCACTTAAGATCACACTCAGGTATGTGTGTAATAGATATTCTGTGCAGGAACTGTATTTTAAACAGCTTTTTTTCTCCTCTTTCACAGATTATTTTAGCTATTTTGGTGTCATGGTTGCTTTGCTTCATCTTCACTGTGACAGACGTCTTTCCCCCTGACAGTTCGAAGTACGGCTTCTACGCTCGCACAGACGCCCGAAGAGGAGTGCTGTTGGTAGCTCCGTGGTTCAAGGTTCCTTATCCTTGTAAGTATGTCTGGTTTTAAGGGCTGTTTTTCTGATAACATGCCTGTGAGTATCATTTCTGTTGTTTTCAGAAGCGTTGCTGGTTTTTTTCCCTCAATACTCTATTCTGATGCACTTCAACATGCGCTGACCTAAAGACATCGTAGGTGGGGATGATGGTTTTTTTCTTGTTTTCCTCTTTAATTTGATACCTTAATGTGTCACCCAAGAAAGACCGAGTCTCTGAAACTTGAATTTGTAGAAGGCACTTGCAGGGTTTATCTAGGTAACTCTTGACTTCTAATAACATAGCGTGACTGTATATATAACGTGGATTTTCAGGGAATGGTTGATGTATCTGCACTTGTCGATACTGTGGTCAGCTGCTGTTAATGTTACGCAGCAGTAAGGATGGGTTATTACAACTCCTGTGGAGCTACTGAAGTCATTGATTCCCGTTGTCTAAAGAATCAGTAGCGCGTGGAATTTTTTCCGGCTTAATCCACTTAGAATCATAGAATCGTTAAGGTTGGAAAAGACCTCTAAGATCATCGAGTCCAACCATCAACCCAACACCACCATGCCCACTAAACCATGTCCCTAAGTGCCTCATCTACATGTCTTTTAAATACCCCCAGGGATGGGGACTCCACGACTTCCCTGGGCAGCCTGTTCCAAGGCCTGACCACTCTTTCAGTAAAGAAGTTTTTCCTAATGTCCAGCCTAAACCTCCCCTGGTGCAACTTGAGGCCATTTCCTCTCGTCCTCTCGCTGGTTACTTGGGAGAAGAGACCAACCCCCACCTCGCTCCAACCTCCTTTCAGGTAGTTGTAGAGCGCGATGAGGTCTCCCCTCAGCCTCCTCTTCTCCAGGCTGAACAGCCCCAGTTCCCTCAGCCGCTCCTCATCAGACTTGTGCTCCAGGCCCTTCACCAGCTCCGTTGCCCTTCTCTGGACACGCTCCAGCCCCTCAATGTCCTTCTTGGAGTGAGGGGCCCAAAACTGAACACAGGATTCAAGGTGCGGCCTCACCAGGGCCCAGTACAGGGGCACGATCACCTCCCTGCTCCTGCTGGCCACACTAGTTCTGATACAGGCCAGGATGGCGTTGGCCTTCTTGGCCACCTGGGCACACTGCCGGCTCATGTTCAGCCGGCTGTCGACCAGCACCCCCAGGTCCTTTTCCTCTGGGCAACTTTCCAACCACGCTTCCGTGCCCCAAACACACCCATTCTTGAATTAGCACAACTGTTAACAACTGCACGAAAATGTCCTGACTTGCAGAAGCAGCATTGGAATCAGGCTGATGAGCAAGTCAGAGAATGCCAGTCAATGCTTGTGAAAGGACAAAAAAGTATTTAGAAGAGAACATGAAACGCTCTACACGACATCTTGGATGTTTGTCTTCTTTTGCTGGCCACCTCTAAGTTTAAAGCTGTTAAAGGCTGTTTCTTACAGCATGAGATAGAGTTGCACAACTGGTTCACCCTTGTGCTGCTCAGAAATTAATGGAGTAATAACAGAATAATATTCTGCTAGAACAGAGTAGTAGAAATTGTCAGGAATACCACTACATTGTAATGAGGCAGCTTCGTTGTGATTTTCCATATGCTTTGGTTTTGATTAGTTCTTAAAAGGAACCACTTCTAAAGGAGTACTTGCAAGATGTATAATAGAAGCTTTTGGGAAAGAAGAAGAGAAAAACTCCACCCTGATTAGACCTTTCTTATTTGTGAAGCCTTGTTCATTCACGTTTGTGTGACTTAAAGTTCCTTTTGTGCGAGAGGCTCATCTATTTCAAAGAGATAAAAGCATCAAGGCAGTTGCTGTGGAAAACCTGCCAAGCTTTTCTACAGGCTTAAATTAATCTTATTTTCTCTTCTACAGAAATTCGGAATTGGAAGGTGTTTGTGCAATGGTCATAGCTGATTGTTGGCCATTCTCTTTGGTAGACTAAACTTGTAACCAAAGACTGAGTTTTCAGAGCAATAATAATAAAGTGGCACTTGCCTCACTGATCAGAATTGTTTTTTCACAAGCAGTAATTCAAATTCCTTCTTTCTGAACAGGAATTTTTTTGGTGGGGTTTAGGGTTTTTTTGTGTTTTTTCCAAGCATGATCAAAGCAGTTGGTTAGGTGGGTTTTCCTTTGCTCCTTTCATCTACTTGAACTTGCCAGAGTGTGTTACTGTGAAGGGAGTTTGTTGATTCGTTAAAGATGAATAAATTGCTGTATGGTTTGATATCTAAATTGTTTTCTGTGGCAGGAGAGATTTCAGTTTTCTTTTCTTCACAGTTCAGTGGGGACTGCCAACAATTTCAGCCGCTGGAGTGATAGGAATGCTTAGCGCAGTTGTTGCTAGCATTATTGAATCAATAGGAGATTACTATGCCTGTGCCAGGTTGTCTTGCGCTCCTCCTCCACCTATTCATGCAATAAACAGGTATGTCAAAAAAAGAAATTTTTCAGTGTCTTAAGCTACTTTTTTTTTTCCTTACTTTTTTTTTTCTTTGGGATAAGATGGGAATGTGTTGTGAGTTTAAATGTTACAATTTGGTCAAACACAAGGGCCAAGGATCTGAAATAAAAGATGCAACTGTCATGTTTAATTATTTTGTTGCAAATGTAGCATTGGAAACCTAGTCCTATTCCTGGTGGAGTCCATGGAAGTTAATAGTACAGTTTCTGTAGAGACGGAACTCTAAATCGGTTCTGGAATTGGGGTAGCTTGTCAAATTCACCTGAAATGCAATTTTAGAAATAAAAAGCAGCTCTAAGTTTGACTTGAATTATTTTGTAATTTCTCCAGTTCAAGAATGTGGGTATCTAAGGCATAGAAAACAGAACTCGAGTTGGTTTTCCAGGTGTGTTGGAGCTTGAAACATGAATTACAGTAATTCATGTGGTACAGATGCCTTAACAGGCACCAACGTAGGTTGCAGTCTTAAAGCATCATCTGAAGTGAGTCTACACTAATACAAGTTTGACTCTTTTTCTATTTGCGATGTACAGAGGGATTTTTATTGAGGGTCTCTCCTGTGTTCTGGATGGAGTATTTGGGACAGGGAATGGATCCACTTCTTCCAGCCCTAACATTGGTGTCCTGGGCATCACGAAGGTATGTGCTTTACCTTGATAACTCAGTGACTTGAGTATTTTATCTCCTCTGGTGGATGGCTTATGTCATTTTCATGTTTCACAGCATGATCCTCTTCCAAGAAACCATACTACTTAGTACTTCGTGCAGACAAACTTTACACAGTATTCTGAATTTACATAACTTGTCTGTACCAGCCATTGTCTAATGGAAATGCATTCTAGATAAGGACCACAAAAATCTTATTTTTATTAGGAGTAAAGGGCAGTTAGAAAATCTACATAAAGCAGATGATGCTAAATAAGCTATCCCTTTGAAAACCAAAAAGGCATTCCAGGGTGTTTTGAGTTGAGGCATAAACACTGTGAACTGTATAGAAATTGATACCGTTTTGGATGTCTTGGCTCTGAAAGCATCGCTAGAGAAGTGACTATTTTTAATGTCTCGCTTGAACACACAATAAAATGCAACTTGAGGTCCTTGGGTCTTATCTACGTCTGTACTAGGATGTTACGCTGACACAGCTAGAACAGGAACTGCAGTCAAGGTAACTTCAAAGTTAAATGTGCCCTAAATATTTGCTTCCCTCATGACAGGTTTTTAAGGCACTGAGCATGCTTAGGGGATTACATATTTTTTGGGGTGTTACTCAACAAAATATATAAGCACTTGAGGAATTCCTTGTTCACATGTGGAACTGGATGTGTGCTTGAACGCCTTGCTGAACTGGGAGACCTTGGACTGCAGATAGATTGCTTGATATTGTTAATTTAACCTTGTTAAGAAATATCAACAAAATTGGTAAGAGTAATTTATGTGTAAATACATACATCTTGTTGCGTATTTGGCTTGGAAGCTATAAATCTCCTTCATGCGTACACGATAGATGATGTATGCTCTCCACTTACAATAACTCATCCCTCTGACTTAATCCAATATAGATGTTGAATTTATCTTCAGCCATTTTTTTTTCTTTACAAAGGATGGTTCTGTTCAGTTTTAGGGTGGAATATAAATACTAATAGCACCATCTGCTGTCTGTATAAGTCTTCCATTCAGTTGCTGATGGAAATTTCCTAGAAAAAATTTTGGTTAGAAGAATCCTTAAAGAAAGGTTTATTCTGTTCTGCTCCCGTTCTGTTGTTACTTCATAGGAGTTGATATGAATTAACAGCACTTTTTTATTAACGGTCCACAGAAATGAGTGTACGTTTTGCTTTGGAACAGCGAAAAATGAATGTTAAACTGGCAGCTGTTACAGGGAACAGAGTTAACTACAGTTAGGTCTGTTCAGAGGGCATGATGGAAGAATGAATATGCCTTATCCAGAATGGCACAGCTGGATGGCTGTGCTCCAGTTTTTTGTCCTGTTTTCCTGTCTGCATGCTCATTTCTAAAAACCTAATAGTTTTTCAACTTCAATTTATATCAAAATAGATTTTTGGCATGTAGATACTCTGCTGTTTATTTGGGAGAGGAAAGCTTTAGTGCTCATGAGCAAAGACTATGTAGTCCTGGTGATCCTGTTATACCAGTGCAACATTTGAAAAGGCATTTACTTCCCTGCAAATCAGTATATGATTACACTTAGAATTTAAATTTGAGACTTCAACTGGATGTAAATACTGCAAAGTCTTTGAGCTAGTCTGTGAGTGAGTTTTATTTGATGAGAGGAGAATCAATTAAATCTGATTAGTTGGGGCAAAAGTATAGGCAGCTTATGCCGTAATGTTGGTGATGAAATGGATACTCCAGTAAGGTACTAGGTACCATATCACGCACTCCAAAATAATCACCTAAAGTGTGTGTACAAGTGCCTGGGAATAAATATGTAGTTTGGGCTAAATGTTGACCAGGATGCTTTCAGTAGCTTTCAAAAGGAGCTTAATTTGTTTGCCTTGTAGTGATGGAGCATTTGCATAAATAAATGTCACTATCGTGTGGATTTTTTTAAAGAATCTGCCTATTTCATGCAGAAAAATAATTTACAGCAACATATTGGTGGTCCTAAGGAAACGAATATCTTCATAAAAAATAGAGAAAGGTACAGGCTAAATTCTGTTGTTGTTCTAGTGAACACCCTAATTTACTGGTCTAGCTTCTGTTTGTAGGTGAACACATCTCACCTAACAGTTAAGCAATGAAGAATACGGGGGAAAGAAGTACTTTGGCCCTAAACATGCCTACTGGATCTTTTTTTCTCATTTCACTCGCTTAGCTCAGTCACACATGATTAACAAATTAATATCTACTTCTTTTTGAAGCTTAAAGGGCTTTGCTAGAAACCACCTCACCAGCGTAACAGGGTTTTTTTGTACCCGGTGTACCTCTTATGCAAGTATAACACTATTAAAATATTGAGTGTTCAGGTTTATCAACTACCACTACAACATAGTGCCAGAGAAATACTGCCCTGAAGTTTGAATGCTTAAAATAAAAATGGGAAGGAAGTGCAGGCACTTGGTTTCACAGTGTTAGCACAGCTGTGATTTGCATATGAAGTGAGTTCAGTTCTGATCTCAAAGAGGGATGTTATAAAATCAGTTGATAATCTCTGTCTAGAAAGCCTGCGTCTCCTTCAAGTGGTAGGTAACTAATACACATATTCTCATGTAAAAGGGCAGCAACACATGGATTTTTTTTTTCTGCCTGTTTGCACTACAGTTGATCCATTTCTCTTCTAGTTATGGTCTATTTGTTTTCTTTATTGTAGATGGGTCTGCGCCACGTTTCAATGGTTATTGTGGCTATAGCAGTTAGAGATGGTTTTAAAGGTGACTTAATGTTAACAAAAAAAAAATCAAAGTTATGTTAGAATTGGAGTGCAGCCATGTTACAGCTGAGCCCTCCAAGACATTTGTAAAGGCTCTGCAGCCTGTTTAACACCACAAAAAAATATGATGGAAACTTGAAAAGAAGTTTTAAATGCAAAAGAGAATAATAAAATAAAATGCAAGGCATGAAGTTGGACTAAGTGCAGACTTTTCCCAGCATCCCTTTGTTTTTGTTCTCCTGCAGGTTGGAAGTCGCAGGGTTATTCAGTATGGGGCAGCCTTCATGCTCTTGCTTGGGATGGTTGGCAAGTTCAGTGCTCTCTTTGCATCGCTGCCTGACCCCGTGCTTGGTGCCCTCTTCTGCACTCTCTTTGGTAACGTATGTTTTTTTGCTCCTCTTTGTGTACTGTGTGGCTATATCTTTTTACTGTAGTGCTGTGTTTATATGTATGTTGCTATCTTTTTTTGAAGAAAAAGGCTATATAAAAGCTGAGACTTGTTTTATTTTTGTTTAGGGATGATTACAGCCGTGGGTCTGTCTAACCTCCAGTTTATAGATTTAAATTCTTCTCGTAACCTGTTTGTACTTGGATTTTCCATTTTCTTTGGACTTGTCCTTCCAAGCTATCTCAAACAAAATCCACTGGTCACAGGTACGTGTTTCTGCTCATTTACATGAACCATACTTTTACCTTGTACTCATAAGCTAAGTACATACAAGTACAAAGTAATGTAAAGGGTAAATAAGAGAAAAACCAAAGTATTATGGAGACAATAAAAGCTATAGATAAGAAGGCAGGTGTGTTCAGAGGAGAGTTAATTGAGATGTTGAGACCTGAATTGAGTGTTCCAGTGGGATACATCTGAAGTTGTCCTGCTTTCTCAGGGTATGATTGTAGAGCAATGGAAGGAGGCGATTGCCAGTTGGACTGGAAGAAAGACTAAAAGGGTGAACCTGACTTGTAAATGATGTTAAAAGAACAAGGGGAAATACCAAGGTAGAGCTTGGAAGCTAGGAATTTGTTTTGGGTTTTGAAATTTTTTGTCACTGCAGACGTTGTTCTGAATCTGAATTTTAATGAACTCAGTTTCAGACTGTTAGCCAAATTATATAGTTTTGGTTAACTGATGGAGAAGGTTTTCTGGTTTAATACTGCCTTCTCAATAGTGGTCATGGCAGTGTATATCATCAAAGGAAGACTCTCTACAGGAATATTTAACTTGATTTTTTTTTTTTTCATTTTTAAAATTTGTTTTAAAAAGGAAAGATTAAATAACTTTTTATAGCTATCACTTCAGAACCAGATTTAAAGCATATCTAACCTACTAAGTTGTTCAGAAAAGTAGATCATTCAAGCAGAGTTAGGTGGTGGTATATAAATACAATGTTCTTCCGTGAATTGGTGCTAGTAAGTCTTGCCCTTTTAAAAAGTAAGGGTTTATAAAAGGAATTGTTTCAGTCCACATGATTTTACATTATGGACATTTCTCCTTTTACATTTTGTAGTTTTCTATTTAGTTTAAATTAAGCAGTTGTGTCTGCAGTAGAAACTAAAATGGCATTTCATTACATTTTTATAAGCAACAGAAAGTTCATGGAGTTACGTTTTGGGAAGGAAGGGGTCCCCATGGCGTACTACATTAGTTGAAGGTTCTTCTGCATCTATTCCCGTGTGGCTTTAAGAGTCCTGTTTGAGCAAATTCCTCAGTGAACTCCAGCAGTTTTCCCAGTTGGCCTGTGTGTAAATCAGTAGGATGTGTATGTGTACGATAAAAATTCAAACTCTAAATATTTTTTTTTCCTGTTCTTCTAGGAATAGCGGGCATTGATCAAGTATTAAACGTTCTTCTCACTACAGCCATGTTTGTCGGTGGCTGTGTTGCGTTTATTTTGGATAATACCATTCCAGGTCAGCATGTGAACTTATCATTTTATCTGAAATAATAACTGCCTTTCTGAATGAAGATAGCACAGCGTTTCATGGAGGCAGGAGATGAGGAAGAGATTACTGCTTTTGTTGTTGACTTCTGTAACACCTAGAGCAGACTGCTTAACACCTGCATGCCTTAGTTTCCTTGAGAATGCTTTGAATCTTTTTCAGGTTAAGGTCTCCATCCTATTAAACATACAAAATAGCTGATAAAAATCAAACCGGAATAGTCATCTTCAGAAGACAGAGTAAAAATATTTTTAAGATCCAAACCTGCTTCCATTCGAGAGGAAAAATTTGCGTCGACATGCAGTTACAAAGTAAAACAGATCATAGCCTTTTCCAATAACCATGGGTTTTTTCCCCTCTTCCTGCCTCTTTGAGGAGTCTAGAAGATCTTTCCAGTGCTTTGCTGAACATGGTGTCTGAGACTTGGGGTTTTTTTCCTTCTCTTAACCTCTGCTGTGTATGTGTGCGTTTACATAAAGATATTCAGTTTGGTTTTTTTTTCCTTTTTCTTTTATTTTGACTTCTAGGAAGCCCTGAAGAGAGGGGAATACGGAAATGGAAGAAAGGGGTTGGTAAAGGAAGCAAGTCAGTGGATGGCATGGAAACATATGATTTGCCTTTTGGCATGAACTTTATTAAAAAATACAGGTGTTTCAGCTTCCTGCCCATCAGCCCTACCTTCATGGGTTACACATGGAAAGGCTTCAGGAAAAGCAGTAACTGCAGGAGTTCAGATGAAGACTCAGAAGCTACAGTATAGCCTTAGTTGAAATTATATTATCTAGTTGTAGTAAAAGATGTATTTGCAGTTTCTTGCTGATTAAGAAGCATTAAAATATATGTTTTGTATATCTGCATTTAAATTCTGGAACCAGAGCTGAGACGGATTTTAAAAAAAAAAAAAAAAAAAAAGCTTTCCTGTTGTGGGTGGTGGTAGCCAGATCTAGTGTCTCTGGGTCAAATTTGCAAATGCTCCTCTGTTTGATTTTCAAAAGCTATAGATACCTGCGCACCTAAGTCTGTTTATTTTAAATGGGGCTTAGGTTCTGGAAGTATGTAGGTGCTATTGAAAAATGTTACTTTTTATGGTGATTTTATTTAAGTCATTGATGCTGGCGTTTTTGGCGCATTCATTGCTGGCAATGTTAGTTACGCCAGAAAATTTGAATCCTGTGAGAAGGGGTGGGGGAGGAAAAAAATTTACTTCCAGTCATGTCAAATCCCATATATATTGTTTTCCACTCACTGATGCGCACATTCCATATTTTCAGCCCCCTGGAAACCAGACCTAGTTGATACTGGCAAATCACGAGAGTATTTTTTTGAAGTACCGATAGTTCAGTCAGATGTCCAGCGCTAAGACAGAAAGTTTTTGTAATAACTTTGCTGACGAAAACCATGACCGACTTCTGATAGCTTAGTGCTGTAGAAGGAACCACTCATTTCATGTCAGTTCACGTTTTTAAACATTTGCTTTTTCTGCCTGGCATTTAACCACCTAATTATAGTGTCCAGGTGCAGGTTTTCTTTAAAGGGACACACGTAGCTTGAGTTTTACAGAGATGGGAAACGATTAACTTCCAGATGGGACCCGATAACAGTTTTTACAGTGCAATGCCTGTATCCAGCAAGACATTTCCTGAACAAAAATGCGAATTTGTTGAGCAGTTCTAAGCAATTAACATCTGTATATGTGCAGCTTTGCCTGTTGGGAAAGCCACGCGCTCAAAACGTGGCCGGCATTCACTGGTTTGGATCGGTGCAGAATTTTCTTCATCGGGTATCGAGAACCGATGCTGCCTACGAGCGGCTTATGTTGCATTGCCTCTTTTTCTTCTCTCTTTGCGGGGCTTCCGCAAAAGCTCTTTACGGCTGCGGAGGTGATCTTGAACGGCAGAGACACTACATTTGATGTCCTCATCCACTGGATGGTTTAACGGGTATTGGGTCCAATCAGGACACCATTCAGATTTTTTTTTTTTTCCTGGAATAGTCTCAGCTCTGATGTTATGTGGGTGTTCATGCTCATCATGCATTCATAATTACAAGTTTTATTCATGTTTAATGTTCTTACTATTGCAAGTTAGTTTTAGACTTCAGTGTGGCCCCAAAAGCATTTTTAAGCTGTGGAGATCATCAGGGAAATGTAGTGTAATGTAATTTCAAGGCCAGTATGCTCTACGGTGCTTGCGTTTTGTATTCCTGGAAAAAACGTAACAGTAGATCCTGTAATTCACTAATATATTTATCAAAGTTTGACTACTGGACAGGAGCGCAGGAACTCTGTTTTCTCTGAGTACTTCCAGGTGAATTTGTTATTGGTTATTGAAGCATGGAAGGGTTGGGGTGGGGAGGGCAAGGAAAGAGCTTAACGGATCAGTACTGAATAGTGTAGAGTTGGAATGATTCCATTGATATCGTTCTCAGCATGCCATGGCTGTTTCCAGAAACTATTTTATACCGCTTTTTCCATAACAAAGCATGTGTTTGTTCCTGCTTCAGGGAACTTTCAGTAGTTTGCAGTCTTGGTGTCAATTGGACTATCTCGAAAGCCGGTCGGAAGAGTTATTGTGTAGTAGACAAGGTTAGTTTGCCTGTGAAACAAAGTCATTTTTATCATTTTAAAATTTTTCCTCTTCAGGTAGTGAGGTGTTAGATTTCCACATCCACTTGCAGATAGTTTGAGTGCGGAGACCTCTAATCAGTGGCACGAAGCTTCCAAATTTCCCAACTTTATGTGCAACCAAAGATGTGTGGGAGACATGGGGGAGTTAAATATAAATAT